TGAGTTCATTCTTACTCATCGTGCTAAATTCTTTGCTTTCATGTAGTTGACATCCGGAAGATACTTCATTAAAACTTGGCTTTTATAACCATTACAACCAAGTCTGGGGCCATTTTGCGTTTATTTAATGGCTGAAGTTTACTGTTAGAACCAGGACGCGGTCTCAGCAACATAGAGTATATTGTCTGCATATAGTTTATGTTTAGGTGTAAACTGACCTGGAATGCGATGTTAATGTTCTCTTATTTGACCCAGAGATTAGAACATTTATATTTTTAAGATAATGCCGTATTCAATAATCTGTTACATTTGTTATTTTCCCAATAATTACTCTTTGATACAAAGTGAGAGAGAAATTTGGCATGAGAATGACTTTTCATAAATATATGTCAGGAAGCTATTAACGCCTTTTCAAAATGTCTGTCATAAGACAAAACAGTTTACTGAATATCGATATTAGGAAAATAAAAACGAAATAATCAGTCTATGCATTTGTCTAAAGAGAAGACCACAACGTGAATATCTAATGTTGAAGAGGGTAAAATAAAAGCATTTTTTTCACTCGTGAATTACAATTGAACCAAGTTGTCCAAACATGTTATTGGCAGCTTAACATCTTGCTCGGATCAGTTACATGCTACGTGTAACTTTTTATGGGTCGATGGAACATCCTAGACTGCATGAGCTCTTGATTATTGATCCTGCTCTGTGTGAAACCGTGAGTTATCCACGCTTCAATTAATGATATAAACTCTTTATGCAAATGGTCAATGGAATATCTCCAAATATACTTTTGCGATTTCCTCGCGCCCTTCTATCAACCAACAGGTGGAGATTTTTGCCATTCGTATACCCACTTCCATGAACACCAATTTCTTTACTAAACCCAGTATTTGTAATGAGCATTCAGTTTCATATACATCGGTACATTCCCCTCCTTGCCATGCCCGTTAAACTATCTTATAAGCAGATCAGAGTTTTGAAGAAAACAAATCTCGAAGTTTCAAAGTTGTGGAACCAATGTCAAAGGCTTCCGCAGTTTGATTAGATGATTCTCTTATCGTTACAGAAATGGCTATATCAAGATGGTCGTCTTGGTGATAAAGATGATAGTCATGTCGATTAGATGGTAACATGATAAAAAGTACGAAAAGTGCATAATATGCAAATGCTAATGTGACGTCGTCTTGTGCTGCTCGTCCGGAAGGAGAGCGAGGTGGACGAGATGAACCTGTCCTGTATAACTTTATTGTCTTAAAACAACTATATTTGGTTGACTATATCATTGTTAAACTCATTCATATAGTGGTAATGTTGATCATTATAATGGTAAATGATAATACAATATGACAATGATCATAATAAACGATAACGATAACAATGACATTGACAGTTATTGGGATGATAATAATCATAATGAAAATAGCATATTTATTTTTTGTGCTAATTCATTAATTACGCGGACTATTCCTGCTACATGCTGTTAATAGACATCAATAGGAATCTCTTGATACCTGATTGGTTTAAAGATGAATAATGGTTCTGGAAAAAAAATCATACTTATACTTATCATTATTATACTATTGGTATATAATGATAACAGTAGTAACACTAATGATGATGATAATAATAATAATTATTATTATTGTTACTATTATATCAATACTATTTTTACATTCTAGTATTGTTGTTATTTTAATTGTTATCATATATTATTAACATCATCTATATGGAAAAAAAAACAATAAAATTTGTACTTGTATTTCGAGCTTTCTTCGCAGGATCACTTACTGCCTATCAAAATTAATACAAATTCGAATGCATTGCTCTGGCTGTGATTCAGTACTTCGACAGTGTTTATTCATCTAACTGCCTTTTGATCAATCTCAAAATCACATGTAGTTTATCTATTATTCATGTTTATTATTCTTGTTTCTGAATATAAAATAATCATTGACAGTTTAAAGATAATATACATCACGTAAAGATATCCAAACAATCATTTATCCCTCATGCATCAATGTTACCTTTGATGTCAATTATATTACATTTTATTGATTCTTTTGAGCCTAAAATAAATGTTAATCTTAATCTTATACCCTTTTCACATGTTTCAGCTTAAACTTGAAATCACTTGAAATTCGGCTGCAAAATAATTCAAATAATTGCAAGATATTCCAGATAAGGACGCTGCAGACAAAACGTACGATAACAGAACAAAAGTAGAAAAGTAACAACAACAACAACAACAACAACAACAACAACAACAACAACAACAACAACAACAACAACAACAACAACAACAACAACAACAACAACAACAACAACAACAACAACAACAATAGTAATAGTAATAATAATAACAGTAAAATATATAATGATACTAACAACAACAATGAAGATAATGAAAATAATCATAGTATTAAAAATCATTATCATGATAATCACTAAAACACAAAAAATAATAATAGTGAAAATAAAATGATAAAGACAACAAAAACAATAAAAGTAATGAATCAATAAATTAATAATTGTAATCTAAATACTAATCACAAATAAAATAATGCTCATTCAAAACCTTTCAATTTACTAAATCCTGTGAACTTTAGAATACATAAGCTGCATATACTAATCTACAAAGTAAAGCTATCAACATTTTTAAAAAGCCAAATGGTGAGGAAAATGTGTAGATTTCTCAACTGAAATAAAGCATTTAGTTGTGGGGAACAGAAGAGAGAACGACACAAGAACAAGGTAAATTATCTAAAGTGAATGCAATGCAAATTCCTACATAATCAAATGTTAATATATCAAATCACACATAATGACTACATAATAGCAAAATACTTCTGGAGAAGCTAATCTCAATCCCTAAATTCAATAATGATTTATGTTTTTGGTTATGCAATAGATAACTGTATATTGTAGTGAAGAACCTATAATTGTAAATAATTAAGCGTTGATGTTTGGAGTAATAGTTTTGGATCATTTTGCCACAAAAAAAAAGAATTTGGGCTTCCTTTACCCTTTCATCATGTTCTCTTTGTAACCCCTTTCTTTACTTATATCAAGAAATACTGGAAAGTACATAAGACATCTTTAATCACAGACGCAGTGACATTCAAGGTGCTAATACATGAAGCAAGAAAAAAATTAAGAAAAAAAAAACTGCTACACATAATACAGCAGTTAATAATGATCATATGATAATAATATTGAGTCTTCATGATCTTTACACTATGTTAATAAAAAAATGTAAAATGCTTTTTATATATTCAGTGAATGTTAATGAACTTATAATCTTTCTTACCCATAAATTATGGAAAAATTCAGCACTTTGTGTACAGGAAAAATACTCAAAACTCCTTTACTTATAAATGGAGAAACTATTAAATTACACAGTGTTTATGCAGAAATGCTCCTTAATTAAAATCATAGCCAAGTAACAGTTTTGTGTGTTGAGGTTTCACATCTAGTAGCCCAGATTTCATTATCAATGTTGCACAAAGTATCTCATCTTTGAAACAACAGATATAGAGCCTAATCGCACTATCTGAGCTGTTCCAGGTAAGACTGAAACAGCAAATGTGCCACTGGCTGCATGAGTAAGAAGGAACAAAGTCTATACATGCCTTTGGAATCAAATCTTTAGAAGTTACAATAGAATATTACAGCTATATTCAAGTCAAATCTGTACTTTAGATATATCCTCACTTTCCCTTCTGCAAATGAAAAATTCGATTAGGAGTAAAAAGTAACAGTTGTATGTATGCCTAACTTCCTAGGAAATGAATTTATCCACGAAAAATAATGATATATACCCTAGGTAGAAAAGATTAGTTTTGAAAAACAAGAATTGTTTAACTGTCAACCCAATCAGTGTGGATGGCAAGACTGCAATGTCATGCCCATTATAATAAAGATTTATCTATTGTCTTTACCCATAGATGGCTCTACAAGTGTTTAGTCATCAAGGAGTCAGCTATTAGTCTTACTTATCTCACCTTATCCTTTTCCTTGATTTTTTGAAAGCTTCATTTCTATTGTTTTATTGTCTTTGATGTCAATATTAATAGTATTGGAAAGAAAAACACATTTTCCCACCAATTCAAGGAATGGGGAAACCAGGATCGGTCAATAAGGTTAACTGATACACTAATTGGTGTCTGAGAACACATGGAGCCATCTGTATGTAACAAAACACAAAATTCTAAAGGGGACAGTACATAAACCCAGACATTGGGTTAATCAATAATAATACAATATATATGTAGATATGTATGTAAGAAAATGGTTTGAACTTTAAATTATACACATTATGTATATATTTTTTATTAAATATATGGAAATGAAATGAAAAAAAGGAGCTGCAGACAGCTGATTGTAGATTCTTATTCTTTCTTTCCATCATTTTTTAACTGCATATATGAAAATTAAATTGCTACAGTTAGCTGATTTGTACAAGTTCATTGGTCAAACTCATATCAGTTATTACACTTTTTGCTGTGTTCACGATTATTTTAATAAAGCATGACACTTATTGTCTTCATAAATTCAAAAGGGTCAGGTCTTTCCTATAATGGAAATATGGAAGAGAAAACATTCAAGAAAAGTGATCTGAAAAACATCTAAATCAAATAAATAAACCATATCATGTTTGCCTTTAAATAATATGAAAATAAGATGTCACATGATAGAATTATGCTTTCCATTTATTGTACAGTGCAGACTGCTTTAAATAATAGAAAACAACCAAAAGATTTTCAGTGGTTGACATGAACTTATCTCTAAGCTTTCATCATTCATGTGTCAGTTTTGAAAATAGTATACTGTACAATCAATCATTCTTCTGTTTTACCAGTGATCTATTTGTTCAATTTAATCAGTGAAATATTCTAAAATCTTTCTCTTTAAATATCCAGAGATAATTATATTGCACAGCAATGTGTGATCATGTTTATTGCCTGAAATACTGCAGGTAGGTGAAATGACAAAAAATATCAAAATTAAATCAGAAGTTTATTCACCACGAAGGAAGTATAATAACTTACAACCACATTTACAGTTTTACATTATCTACATCAAAGGAAATCGAGGTATCAACCAAATGGAAACATTACAAAAAGTCATTGCACCAGTCTCCACTTCCCTGTAGTCAGCTGTTGTGAGTTAAATTCAATGAACTCCTGGTGTATGTACATTTTACTCTTTTTCTCAAGCCTGCATTTAATTGCCGATCTTAGGTCCCCAGCCAAACTCAATCAGTCCAGAGTTATTTGCCTGAAAAGAGAGAAAATTACAGAGTTAATTTCCAATCACAAAAATGACATCTCTACATACTGGAAATGGAACCGAGTTAAGTTGTCTACCGTATTTCTAGATGACTTCAGCAAATCCTAATTATCTTTTACTTTCATTTTCTAAACAAACACCAACATCTCAACATCCACATCAAGTTAATACAACAAAATTACAGTACATATATCCTGAGAATCTGGGCTAGGTAAAGCAATCTGAAGTCCTGGTCAGTGAAGTTTTTTTATTATAAGGTTCATTTCAGAATTTCATCAAGGCTATTTGTGAAGTATATTTACTGAATGTAGAATCTGAAATATAGTGACCACTTACCCCTAAAAGTCCTAATTGCCACAATTGTGGCAAACTGTACATTCACCATGATGATGGATGGCCCCTCAAAAACTTTTTCATTATTGATGAGATACATGTAGCATCCACTAACATATATGGTGCCTTCTGGCAAATTTTCTCCAGCCACATCCACAATATCAAACTCATATCCTCAAACCTCATAAGCCCTCCTCTCCATTACCTGCTAGTGAAGTAATGTTTTCCTGCCTCTTTTCTTGCAAATGGAACATAGTAAACATGACTTAGTAATTTCAGTACTGTATAGCATATTTCATCTAGCTAAACCCCAAATAGTTTTCTCCTCTACATTTCCCCTTGTAACACCACACTATTGCATATACCTCCAGGCATATCATTGTGTATTTATATTCATACATATAGATATTTCTGTCAGGGAAAGAAAATTGCTTTACATGAAAAACGGGGTTTTGTTGCTTTTTACAATGTTTTATATAGATGTTTATAATAATCTATTCCAATTTTAATTCATACAATAACTTTTCCAACATTGTGTTTTATAGATGCTCTATGTATTTGATATACGTATAAATCAAGATCTTGAAATGGATCAAACAAATAAAAGTGCTAGACATTAAAGGTCATACAACACTGATAAAATATTGTGTTGAAAAGGGTAGAAACGAGTTACTAATTAGGGTAAAGTGTGTAAGAAGTTAAGAGTTTGAACAGTACTAAGATAGTATGGTAGTGAAAAGAGGTAGAGAGGAGGAGCTGATGGGGTAAAGAATAAAGTGAGGATTGTTACAAGAGTGAAGGGCAATTAGATCAAATGGATGATAGATGTGTGTCTCAGGAAGAACAACAAGTTGTCAAAGGAAAAAGTAGGGGATTCTGAGAGGCTGTCCAACAGGCCAGGGGACCAGGGGAGTGACAGCAAATGAGGAAAAGAGGTACAGGTTCCTACAAAGAAGAAACATGATAGGAGGTGGTGTAGGGACTGAAAGAGAAACATTGCAGGAGGAGCACAGGGGTTGATCAGATTGTGACATAAAATAGGAATTCATGAGGTGAGTGTGGCCAATACGTAATCAGGCAAGAGGAGCTTCCAACGTCTTTTCTAAAGTAATGGGACTGACAATGGGAAGATGGAAGGTTTTATGGTATGTAGTTTAATGGTGGCAAGACTAGACCAGAAAGACTACCAGTAGTTAAAGAGGAAGGTTTTGCAATGAGGGCATAGTCAGTAGTTGGTATATGTGAAAATCTGGGTTGATGGGACATGGACAGGGTGGCAGAGCATACTAAGGCATCTGCTAGTTTAGAAAAGGTATGAATGAGAAGGAATATCTTCACAATACATGAGATGTATTTGAATGGTTTCGATTATATCTTCATCAAAAATACATACATCAAAGAGGGCTGATTGGCTGTGCAGACTATATGAGAGATAAGGAGTTTCTGGAGTCAGTGAAAATTGTGAAGGGTCAGAGAGGGAGGAAAGACAGTTCTAATGCAAAGAGGATCACATAATTCTGTTGTAAGGATGGAAAATTGAAAATATGCGAAGGAAAGTTTTGAGTTAACATTCTTTACTATGTTCCTTTGAAAGTTTACTCTGCCACCCTTGTTCTCTTTTTTCTTTTTTTTCTTTAAACTTTGACATTTATAAGCAATGTAATTTTATTGTACAGTGAAGTGTGTGGCACAAAATCAGGAAGATTTTGTGCCACAAATTTGATATGAACTGACCGTATTATAAAAAAAGCTGTGCTAATTTTTTGTGTCTCCTGACAACCATACACAGGCCAAAATGTATGGAAGGATACGGCACTGGTTAAAGAAACAAGACATTTTAAAAGTTCAATATATGTAACAAAAAAAAGTGTCTGAAGAGTGCAAATTCGAAGATGCTACCACAATTTCTCATCTATGAATGACAACGGAGATAGACTGTCATGAATAGAAACATATAAAATCACTTCTTATCATACAAAACAATAAAATGTGTGTTTAGATGTATTCATAAGTATTAGGGTGTACAATTTGTGGAATGATGATTATATACCAATAAGGTATGTATGAAGTATTAGTAGAATGTATGAAAACAGGGATTGTAGAAGTGTAAAAAATCTAAGGTTTGGCTGGGTGAAATATTCGCAAAGAGACAGAAGGGGAAAAACATAAATATGTAACTGGTTAAGGGAATGGCCTACAAAGGGAGACTGGGTAGGATTGATATCATACATCTCATTCTTAATTCAAAAAATCATAGCAGTTTCGTTTCTAGCACAGTCACAGCAAATTATACTGAGCAAATGTTGGTATTTCAAAATTGAGAGCGAACTAGTATTTGAGACTTTTAATATCAGTGAACATACCAAGATGCTCTCAAACCCAGTGATGTACAAGATGCTTACTATCTACCTTTCATAGTTCTTGTTCATACCAGCAAAGTTCAATAAAATCTAGTTATCAAAGAAAAATTCAGAATATATAAAATTCTTATAAACTCATTTAACTACTATTTTAACCCACTGGATATGGATGCTTCAGCGCCATCACATGGCCCAGAATACAAGCATTAGGCTTACTTGATCGGCCACTCTAATGGGTGCAAGCTTGTAGGTTAGGTGCATGCGAACACTCATGTGCAGTGACAAGACTCTATGCCTGCCTGCAATGTTATTCTCTCTTTTTCTGCATAAGCATTTTAAACTTTTTTTTGCCATTTTCCAATATCCATATTTGTCATTCGATTTGCTTTATCCAGGTGGTCATACACTGTTTTCATTGTCATTTTCTTTGTCATTTTATTCTATTTTTATATTACTATTATTTTTTATATACAATTTTCTGCAATACAACCTATGCCACCTGTCACAACAGCCAGGAATATACTTCTGAGCATGGAAATAGTGTCCTCCCTGGAGCTTGTAACAGCCCAGACTATATCACCACCCAAATTATTCCACGGGATTATTTCAAGTTAGGTTGTTTTATACCCAGGGTTTGAGTTTGGCTGGGCCTCGTCATACACCCAGGTATAAAATGGGCTAGGCTAGAATATACCTCCCTTTTACATGTAACAACCATATTACTATTTTGCCAGAAGATAATTGCTGGTGTTGATGATGATGATTATAATTAAATAATTATAATTATAATAATGATTACTATCATTAACATTGTTGCTGTTATTACTACCATGTTACTATAATTAGTAGTAATGCTAATTATGAAAATTTATTCTGGTCAGTAAGCAGTGAATATTCACTCAATATTCAAAACCACTGAAGTGTTTAGAAAGGTGTTGCAAATATAAGGCATGTTTTTGTGGAGTTCATTAAATCAGCATGTTGTACATCTTTGCTTATACTGCTGTGTGCTGTGTGTTGTTGTTGTTATGATTTGTTGTTTATAGATGAACAATTTCATTAAAACTTTTATTATTCAATTCAGGACATCAGTTACAGAACAAGTAAAAATGTGCAACAAGCAGCTTTAATGAACTTCCCAAATACATGCCTTATATTTGCAATACATTTCTAAACACTTCTGTGTGGTTTTGAATGTTGTCTGAATGTTTATTTGCTACTGTCCAGATTAAAACTTTCCTAGTAATGATAATGAATATAATAATGTTAAAAACTGTTATCATAATAATCATAATAAATATTTCAATATGGTGGCCTGTAGAATTTATTATACAATGAATGTCTGCAACTGAGAGATCACTGTATGATTGGCAATATCTTCTGACAAAAAAAAGAAGGGGTATATTCTGCCCTAGGGGGGTATATTCAAGCCTAGCCCATTTTATACCCAGGGGTTTAAAGTGGCCTAGCCAAACTTATACCCTCGGTATAAACCAGCCTAGCCTAAAATAACCCCAGGTATATTCTTGGCGGGGGTTAAGTCTGGCCTGTTACACCAGCTCTCTTTCAGTCATGGGTCATTGACAGTACATTCTACTCGTTTATTGATGGAAATAATGCTAAAGCCACTTCCTAAATGCCAAGTAAGCCTAATCACCCTAATCACAAAGAGCTTTGAGCACTTGTGGTGAGTCTTTCCCACTACCCCAGCCTTCAGCTGAAATGCTCATGACAGAACGTTCACGTCACTCTGGCCCACAGCCCAATATTCCCAAGACAGTATGTTCATGACATGCGCCCCTCAAGCCAAATTTTTTATGATCATTGGGATTAACTCTTACCCCAATATAAAATTAATTGTAGCAAATCAGATTTGTTGACTTAAACAATACTCAGACTGGCTCAAGGAGATAACTAGTACTGAGCCAGCAACATAGTATGTATAGAGAGCAGGGGTGAAAAAAAGAAAAGAAAGAAAGAAAAAAAAGAAGTGTTTATACCTGTTTTTCCTGGGAGCAAATTGCCTCCAAGCTGATGAAATTAGTTAAGTGAAGGAGGTAGTTTATGCCATAATTGGCATCTTGCATCCAGGAAGAACATGTACAAAATTTCTACACTCAATTATGTTATAGTTCTGTAACCCTAATACCTGGCCATCTGATTAATTTGTAGGAATTACAATCATTCTTTACTTTTTACTCAAATATGAGCAAACCCAAGAAAGTAGGCCATCAGGTCAAGGGGGTTAATCCTCAAATCAGTGATACTCACAGCAGCAATTGTGCCAGCAGTGAATGCGACACCAACAAGGAGATGAAGATTATACATGCGCTGCTTCTTGGAGTGAGCCTCAGACCAGGATCCTTGTGGGACAGGCAGCTCACTCATGGTGGGGGGCTTGTACTCTGCGACAGAGCCCATGGAGCGGCCCATTGCTGAAAGTAAAGAGAATATGATTCATTCTTGATTTGTCAGAGACTAAACTAAACTGAAGCTTTTAGTAAGATACACTGCAACACAAATAATAAAATACAGAATATAACTTTATCAGAAATTACCTATCCTCTTCTCAGTACTCTTAAATGCTAAATACATTTATGCAAACCAAACAACATAAAACAATATTGACATTAGGCTTAAAAAAAAAAAAAAAAAGGCAGAAATATTTGGAGGTGTAACTTCTGTATGAGGGAAGTGCTTTCAACAAGTTACTGCATTGGATAAAGGCATTCTTCCTCCTTTTATGACTGCATATGCCTTTGAAGAAGTACAACGCTGATGCAAAAATGTGTGTTTAATCTTTATGGTATAGGTGAACTAGGGTAGGGCAAATTGAAGACAATATTCTTGTAAAGGACAGAGTTGTAGTGGTTTGTAAAAAAAAGTTGCCCAGAGTCTATGTACACTTGGCGCTCTTGAGTTTCAAGCTCTACCTTGCCATGTATACCATGGTGAAGACAACATTTCCTGGGGGTATTGGGGGCTGAAGTCCCCCATCATCCCTCCCCTCAAGGACTGATAGAAGGGCATGCCCAGTCAAGGAAACTGATTGTGGAATTAGTTTTGTGACATGGAGTTAGGGACTTAGTCTCTGGCGAGTGCAAGTGTACTGTAAAGAATTACCAAATATGTAGAAATGTTAAGAAAGATACAATGCTCGATGCAAAAATGTGTGTTTAATCTTTATGGTATAGGTGAACTAGGGTAGGGCAAATTGAAGACAATATTCTTGTAAAGGACAGAGTTGTAGTGGTTTGTAAAAAAAAGTTGCCCAGAGTCTACGTACACTTGGCGCTCTTGAGTTTCAAGCTCTACCTTGCCATGTATACCATGGTGAAGACAACATTTCCTGGGGGTATTGGGGGCTGAAGTCCCCCATCATCCCTCCCCTCAAGGACTGATAGAAGGGCATGCCCAGTCAAGGAAACTGATTGTGGAATTAGTTTTGTGACATGGAGTTAGGGACTTAGTCTCTGGCGAGTGCATGTGTACTGTAAAGAATTACCAAATATGTAGAAATAGTTTAAGAAAAAAGCAACAAGAAATCTTAAGTAAATGAGATCAAGATTAATGGACACTGCCATCTTAAAGAGCATAAGAAATTGTCAAACAACACAGGTACAGCAGCTATGGCAACATATTTACTACAAAATAACAATTCTTTAAAGAGTAACCACTAAGCTTGTGCACAACTTTGCATTTTTTCATTGCTGAGATACTACTCTTTCAAAAGCAACTTGTTGCAAAAAAAAAAAAATCTGCCGAAATATGCATCCTCTGCAAATTTACACATTAAAATATTGTTCGCAGCGCCATTTCTTGGAATTAGTTGCGATGACGTCATGAGTTGTGTTAGTGTCAGTGTTGTTTATTATGGCTATGGCGTGTTCTTCATCATCCAGTGTTGATAGCTTTTCAAGTTCGTCTTTTGACGGTAGTCTGGACTCTATAAACATTTCCGATAACAGTGAAGATGTATGGCATGTTTGGCAAGACGGTGTTGTGCTTGGTTACCAATTTGAGGACCTCTTGGAGTCCGTGGCATTTCAGCCACCAGAGAACTATTGGTTGGAACAACGAATGGTCAATACTGACTGGAAGGTCTCAGTTTTTTTACACCCCTTCTCTCATGTCTCTAACGTTAGTTTAGTAGGGTATTCTGAGGTACTATTGATGAGTCTATACGGCGTCTAGGCTCACCATCGCTTGACATGATGCGAAATGCAGTTTAGCCTACACTGTAAACAAAACGTCCAGTCTATGTACAGGGTGCACTGCATGCTTCCAGTGTGACTGGCCATATTAATTAGATATCAGTGTGTCAGGGTCCTGATCCTGTAAAATGTCATCATGCCATGCAAGCTATGGCCATGAACATGATTTAATTAATACAGCTGGGGTTAGTGGAGGTGATTGGCGATTCCTTTGCAGGTTTTCGAAGTTGATCGTACCAAAGAAAATGGGGCTTAGTCCAATAGGCCTGTGATCTGGCTGGCCTGGCCCTAACTGTTAGCAAATTCCTCTGTTAAAATACATCTTAACTGTGGTTTTGATTTGTACAGGTGTAAGTGTGACAGATGTGAGTTATGTGAAACTCCAGAGGAAAACAAGTGTTGCACAGAAAAGATGCCAATACAGGAAAAAAATGATGAGTACAACAACAATTCTGCAGAATGTTTATGATCATTTTATAGTGCAACAAACACAGATTTGAAGGAAAAACCAATGAGTGTGTGTTAAATTAAATGATTAAATATATATTTACAGATACACTATTAATAACACTTATCTCTATCTATATTTGGTGGACAATAGGACATTTGCATACAAAACATCACACGAAAATATCACACAAAAGGTTCTCATCCATGCATTCATGGCGATGACAAAGAAAATGAAAACAACTCATGATGTCATTCCCGGGTTGGTGGCGCTACTGGTAATATTTGAGTTAAAAGCTGTAGCAGACGACGTTTTGGGCCCAGATTTTGTTCATTCAAAAGGCTATAAATATAGAACGCGTTTTTTTTTTATTCACTTTTTAAAAATCTTATGCATATTTGGAGGTACAAGAACAAATTCTGAGATGAATATCATACATTTAATTCACATAGTGGGTTCTCTTTAAAGTACAGATGCACTTGCCAGAGACTAAGTCCCCAACTCCACACCTGAAACTCTTCAACAAAATTCTAAGTTGCCATAACAAATTGACTGCTCAAGGGGAGAGTTGATAGGGGTTTCTGCCCCCAACACCTGCCCGGGAAACACAGTCTCCCCCTTAGTATGTGTGACAACAACAACTGCAACTTTTAGTCCTCTACAGTAATATCTTCAATTTGCCCTCTCTTAGTGAGTTTATACTACAAAGATTAATTTTCATTTTCAACACAAATTTACATCAGGATTCCCCTAGGTAAAGCTTTACAGTACAGACGCATTCGCCAGAGACAAAGTCCCCAACTCCACATCACAAAATTTATCCAACAATCTAAGTTGCCATGACTGCGAGTGCCTGACTACCTGAAGGGAGGGCTGATGGGAGGCTCTGCCCTCCAACACTCCCCACCGGTAAACACTGGCTTCTCCTCGGTATGCGCAGCAAGAAAGAGCTGAAACTTGAGAGCGCCAGGTGGACTTAGGCTGTGAATCGCAAGTTGCCCTGGCTTAGTGCTTCCTTACCATAAAAATTAACTTGCCCACTGGAATGAACAAATGAACAAACCCCATCCTAAATGTGCAAATCTCCACAAAAATTGCTATATAAAATAAAAACCTTCCTAACCCTTGAACTTTGCCTTGGACCCCTACCAATAGACATATAACCCAAACCAGAAGCTATGTCCCAAAGGTACGTGTGGGAAAGGAAGCCCTGATGGAAAGCAAGGCCACTCCCTTAACAAGGGTAAGAGTTACTGTGAGTTGCTTGATATTAGTTTGTCTTCATTGGCTTTATTACTTTCTATAACAATATACTCTATTAATTGGGGAGAACAAAATTAGGTACATGTTGCTGAGGGTGACCCATAGATAGAATTAAATGATACTGCCATCTTATAGAGCTGAAGTAAAAGTTATAAACAACACGGGTACAGTTTCTGTGGCCTCATTTTACTGTGAAGACAAAAATGTTGGTAATTCTTTACAGTATGGACACACCTGCCAGAGACTAGTCCCCAACTCCACGTCATAAAATTTATCAAAATACCTAAGATTCTGTGACTCGGCACGCCCAAAGGGAGAGTTGAGGGGGGGGGAGGGACAAAGTCTTCACCTCGGTCGCACAGCAAGAAAGAGCTGAAACTCAGGGGCCCTACATGACTTAGACTGTGAGTGGCACTTTCCACAATTGTTTTCCTCTATTTGTGGTAGTACCATTCGTGTCTGCAGATGATTTCTTGTACCGATGAATTCAAGTTTTTGTCCTCTACAAGAATACCCTCATCAATTTGCCTTGGCTTAGTGTGCCCATACAGTAAAGATTAGCCAAAATATCCGCTGCATATCACCACTCGGAGACTAAGTCCACAGCACCCCCACACAGACAGAGTTCTTAAAGTGGGGTTTTCTACAAGTCCACTTTCTATAACTCTTCCTCACTGCAGCTTGTCTATATCATCCATGCTGCAGTTGTGTCTCAAATATTTTCTTTTAACAAATTATTTGCAAAAATTAGCATGAAGTACTAATAAAGGGGGGGTTCCAGATAGCCTTTGCCCTCTGTCTAGAGAAAAAAATTGAAAGTAGGCAAGATTAGGTTTAGATTTTTGGCTCTGGAGGTAAGTCGCTATCTTGAACAAACACCCAAAATCAAAAGAACATCTCAACACCTTCCCAAATAAGCCTACTTGCCCTACATGTTAATAAATCTCCTAAAAAAAATAAATAAATAAATAAAAACAAAAAAACTCAAAAACATCCTAATGGTCACATGCCTCTCACTGAATACATAAAAGTAAATCGCTCTTCCTTTACAGGTCAAAAAAGCAAGTATTCAGATTCACACCTACAACGCTACAGTACCCAGAATCCGTGTTCTCGTCTCCAATTAAAGATTCTCGTCTCCAATTAAAGAGCAAGAGCCTTCGTCCACCCTAAAATCGATAAAATACTGCAAGCACCTTCAAGCAAGCTGCCGGAGCGAGGAAGTCACGTATACAAAGTGTTATATTTAGATATTTGTTAAACTTGTATGTCTTCAAAGTGAAACATCTATACGTCTTTCCTTCAACACTTGAGTGAAACCTGTCTCTGCTGAAGCTACAGGATCCCTACAGCTCACCAAAGTCTGTAGTTCCAATAGAAAAAGAGAGAGAAAAAAAAATAGGTAACCGGCACCCTATATCGGGGCAGCAATGACGAAATCGCCCCCAAGGAAGGAAAAATACTCTATAAGGGGGTTTTCAGCTTCCTAGATCCACTTCCTCACTTGATGAACAGCATCAGGCATACTTACGCTTAGCTCTGCAGACATTGCGGGCGGAGAGTGCGGTTCTGGCGAACATTTCTGATTTCCTTTCCGGGCAGAGAAGATGCTTCCTTCGTGAGAGTTTTCGCCGCTCTAAGGGGCTGCCGGGGCGCCGCCTCTGCCCTCTGCCGGCCGGAGGGAAAAGCTCTTAAGTATCCACATCTAAAATTCTGTTTGTTGCGGTCTTTTATGTGTAATACTTATTTTTATTAAAATTTATAATTATTGTGTATTGTTTTAGATATATGAATGTATAAAAAAGTTGATTTTAAACATATTCTTGTTTTATGCAGACGACACTCGTGTAACATTTGTTGACCAATAAATAATATTTTTTTATCAAAAGTTTTTAGGAAGTCATAATAATAGGCTTTGTTTTTTGTTTGATTCATATAGATATTTTAGCAGCACCGCACTACATATCTATATACTGCTAATAATAATAATTGTCTACATTCTAAGTAACAAAGTGAACCTTTCCCAATATCTGTCTTTAATCATAAAGACAGAAATATCAAGAAGTAACTATCAACGAATCATACTTTAAAGCTTAAATGACTATCATACACATTTCCTCAGGTAACTTCAAGCGGCGGAGAAGAGAGATTTGGGATCTCGCTTGACTCGATCCTGGACGCGGTTTGGGTGTCGTCCGCTTTGTTTACTTCAGTCTGGTCTGAGCAAGTGTGACGAGAGGGTTAGTGTCGCTCTCGGTCGAACGTGAGATGTGAGTGTTTGAAGTGATTGTAAGTGAAACCGAATGATGTTCCTTGTAGTGTATCGTAGGTGAGGGATGAGGCATTGGGCATCGTCATGAGCGTGTTTAGCGAGTTCCACAAGGCCTGGCGAGCCAGATTCCCCGGGAATGATCTGCCGGCGGCGTGGGAGGAGGATGTTCGTGCCAATCTGTCCAAGCATCGCGCGCGAGTGGCTCTCCTGAAGGAGGAACTGGAGAAGGAACAGTTTTATGTGGAATACCTGGAGTGCCTGCTGAACGACGTCCAGCTGCAGAAAAGGAATGAGGGTGACACTGGCGAGTTCTCGAGCCAACGAGTCGAGGAGGAGGAGCGTGGCCAAGGGGAGGGCAGCGAGGGGGCAGCCCCTGTGTTCCCCGGCGGCGTTGATTCCGCCGTCACCCAGGCCATAAACACCATGATGGTGCAGCGCCGCGGCCAGCCCGGCAAAGGGCACATCTCGCCCACCCAGGACGGCGACGAGGCAGAGGCGAGGGAGAGGGAGCCGTCGCAAGGAGAGGAGGCGGCCAAGAGCGAAGGAGCCAAGTCAGCGATGTTGTCGGACGAGGAGGACGGCTCCCCCCTGGCGCCCATCACTCCTCTGGCTGCAGCCCCTCCCTCGGGGGGCAGCACTGTCAAGGACCTTGCACGGCGGTTCACAGCTTCAGGCATGGTGTCTCCTGGCATGAGCGCCGCAGGACGCCCTCCAGCCTACAACCGCTCCACCTCCGTCCCTGCCTCGTCGGGAGGACCCGGGGCCAAAGAATCACAGTTCGTAACTGTCATCTCCGTGAACGGGGCCGGGCAGAGTGAAGACTCCCGAGGAAGAAAGGTCCCCCCAGCGCCTCCCCCGAAGACGTTTCGCCGGTCTACTGGCGCCGAGGGTGAGGGTGACATCAAGATCGTGCCTTCATCTCCCGGCTTGTCGCGTCCTCCTCATGCCGCCCCTCGTTCCCCCCAGCGCCCCCGACACCCCTCCCCCGTCAGGGACTCCCAGAGCACCCCAACCAAAAGTCCTTTGCAGAAGACACTCTCCGCCTCGAGCGACGGCCGCCCTTCCTCGGGCAAGGAGCCGCACAAGTCCCCCCAGTCGGGCCGAGACTTGCAAAAGTCACCCTCCAACTCCAAGGAGTTGCAGAAATCGCCGTCGAGTGCGTCTTCTTCCACCGGAAGTCTTGGCAAGAAATGCGTGTCGAAGTCTTCATCCAGTGCTTCCTCGAGCGCCGGAAGTGGGGCTGCTCCTCGCCGCGTCGGCTTGAGCAAGACCTCTTCGCTGTCCTCCTCGAGGTGCGGCGAGGATGAGGATGAGGTTGGTGGCGGGTCGGCCTCAGGAGCCTCCCTCGAGAACCTGACGGATGACGAGCCCCTGTACGACACGGTTGCTCCCGACGAGGACGAAGATACCGGCGAATACGTCCTGCTTTCCGACAAAAGCTCCGAATACAACGGCACAGACACTCTCAAGTCGGCAGCCTCGGGGGCGTCGAGTGAGGGCGGCCTCAGCAAGTCCGGTGGAGGTGCGTCCTCAGGAGCCACGCCTTCGGGAGGCTCACCTGCACCGGATCACCCTCCGGACTCCCCGAAATACTCCAACTACGTCAACATTGACTTTTTCCTCAAAAAGTAAGTATGCAGATCCGGTTGTTTTAGTAAAATCGCAATGCATGCCAGTAAAGTTAGGACAGATACAATCTTAAAGTCAAAGTCTTAACATAGATGAATAATTGGACCAAAGAAGAAGAAAATAAAGGCGAGTCGTCATAACTACGGTACTTTAAGTGGAAACACACGACTCAGTCAGGGCTTGTCATACAGTAAACCCACAGCCGGACTTGGCAGATTTCTTCATCAACGCCATCTCCGTGTCTTTTGTGACGGTCGGAAAGAGGCGTGGCGATAGGTGACCGCAGACCATTTCCCTTGTTCCGAAGAGTGTGTCTGCAAAGTGCCCGTGAAGACTGTTTAGACCAATACCATGGTGACTCACAGTGACCAGTCTACGGAAAATTTGTTTTTGTTAAGCAAGACGCTATGCTTACTTTCTTTGGCTATGTTGTACTTCGTTTCTCCGAATCTAACTGTTTTGTTATCCGTACACTATAAGGTACTTCAAAACTCTAGCGTAGATAATCATACAGGGACGAAATATTCTGACTTGGTCTCGTGAAAGCCAGCAACTCGAGCAAGTCATTAACGTTTACGCAGAGAAGGTCTCTGGCGCCAGTGAAGCGCAAAGTTTTAGAGAAAGAGAGAGGGAGGGTGTGTGTGGGAGCAGAGGCAGAGAGGGAGGGCGGTTTGGATCCGTGGCGTGACTCATTCTCGATGGTAGGGGGAGGGAGGCCAGGATAGCAGGTGATGCCCCGGGCACCACGTTGACCCATCACATTCTATCAGGCCAATTTGTCCCCGGGTCTTGTTCTTCTTGCTGTGTGTAAGGGTTACTTGCCTCTCCACATCCTTTGCAGTTTCTTCATTCACCCCCTCTGTTTTCTCTCCCTTTCTTCGTCTCCCTCCGCCCTAGTCCCCTTTCCTCTCCCCCTGCCTATACGGTGCATGGAATCAACAGAGAATTTACGAGTAAGAGCATCGATAGTAGAATCATGATTTGTCATTCCAGAAATGAAGACAAGCGCGTTAATTGAATCATAAAATAATCGAAATAACGAAGAAGGTGGAGACAAGAGGAACTGTAGTCGGGCAAATTTCCTTTCACTCGTTTCGCTACTGTGGCTCTGTATTGGGCGTAGGTGTCGCTCTGATGGCATTCATTTGGACTGCGAGTGAGAGTGCTTTGCTGGTTTCACTTTTATCGCTATCCGCAAAAGGTGTTTCTTCTAATTGCAACTGTGCACAATTCGATCGACATTGCAAGTACATAGCGAGAGAGAGAGAGAGAGAGAGAAAGAGAAAGAATTGGGGAAGGGCGAATGACAGGGGGGGGAAAGGAAAAAGACGGAAAGAGAGAGAGGCACGCAGGCCGCAGGCAAACAATAGACAGACAAATCGGGGGGACTGCTGCTTCATAGAAGGCATGCGGGGTAGGACAGGGGGTTATGCGAGTGCCGGGGGAAGGGGGGGGGGGCAGGCAGCTTCTTGCAACAGAGCTTCATGGTCACGTAGGGATTTTTTTATGTATGGAACTAAATGGGCGTAACTTAGCCTTGATACGCGGAAGAAGTAATCGCCATTCCGTGTCAGCGCTTTTTCGTCTTGGTTTAATATGGTTAACCTCTCTCCTCCCATGATAATGATGATAATAATAATGGTAATGGTATAAAGCGTAGGGGGCGAGCCGTGACACTTTCTGGTTCCAAGAAGGCAGTTTGATGTTCTATATATAGTGTCTGTGTAGGAATGACGCCCGGTCATTCTTTCATAATAGAAATGAATAAAATGTCTGCATAATCACAGCTGGGTACCGTTACTCGAAAACGTTTATAAAACAGTATGTAAGAGAATGAAGAGAGAAAATAAAATCAGATAATGGCCTTAAAGTTATACTACTTAACTGTTTCCTTTTCGACTGTTCCTTCGTATCTGTCTGTTTAGTTGTATGTAATGAGCATTTCTTGAAGTGTTTTTCTGCGTATAGTTAATGATCCTAATATGTGATTACAGCTATCAAGAGGCAATATACACATTGAGGAAAGTTATTAAGGTAATCTTTATGTAAATTGTGTTCCCAATATCTTCCTGTCTCTGTAATACCCGATCTGCATTTTTTATCACCAAGGTTAATTACATCTTAGAAGGTATGTTCCCCCCCCCCTCCTGTTTTGTGGTTGGTAGTTGTCGCATATTCTCTTTTGTCAGGCAGGAGGAATGCCTTCTTAAAAACATTTGAGTTTATTTGGTGTTCTGTAATTTAAGTTTATTTGTCCATCCACTCTGAAAGTAAATCGAAAACTTTGCCAATTTATAGGTATGATATACGAGTTCAAAGTCAATTTAATGAATAGATTGTGCATAATGATTTATTTTGTAATACGCCTCTTCGTATTAGAGTATTTTCAGACATACTCGTTCTGCTTGTTATAACGGGCTCAACCGTCGCCCTCAGCGGCCGTATTGAACTTTGTGTCTGTTACGAAGTTGCCCGGAATAGAACGGCGGTCACGTTATGGCTCGGGGATATTAAACAAGTTCGGAACAAGTTTTGTGGGTTCGCGAACGGGCAAGGTCAACCTCGTAACGTTTGGCCGAAGAAGCGTGTGTGGCGGCCAGATGCAAGGTCTTTATAGACCCTGGCCAGATGGTTGCGTTGGGGGGGAGGGGGCAAGGAAAGCAAGGGATGCTTCTGTTTGCTCTTCGCCTGAGAATGTTCGTTCTGCGACGAAACGGCTTAAGCGACCGAGTGCACCGATTACTAAAAAGTAAGATCAGTTTGATACCCGCCCAGTAGTGTAATTCGCTGGAAGGGATAGGCCTGCATGTGCGTGTATTACCAATTTTTATTGCATTTGTTTAGAATCTTTTATTACTTCTGAATACATGTCATTATGCTTAGAATATATATTCGATGATCGAAAATTAGCCATGCTTATGAATATGTAAACACTGATATTGACACTGTGATATCTTAACAGATTAGTGTTTCTGATTAATTTTACAATCTGGTTGTATAGGCATTGTCCTTGAAAAAAGTAGCCTGCTTTTGAAAGTGTGTGTGTGTGTGTGTGTGTGTGTGTGTGTGTGTGTGTGTGTGTGTGTGTGTGTGTGAGAGAGTGTGTGCGCGCGCGCGCGCGTGCGTGATTGTGTGTGGGTGCTTGATTATGTATGTGTGCGTGCGTGATTGATTGTGTGCGTGCGTGTGCGCGCGTGCGTGGGAGTTTTTATTTGTGCGTATAATTTGTGTTTGAGTTTCGTGGGTACAAAAAAAGGATTGCGAAAGTAAGTGTGCCACGTGTGCCACTGACGAGACACCTTTCTCGAACAATGCGTCACTCGCTATTTCCTGCCGAAGCTGGACGACGTATCAGAACTGGTACTTTACCAGTGGCGCTGTTAAAGGTTCAGCACTCCCTAAGTGGCATTCTGTCCTGGCATCATGTGTGAAACGACTGTATAGCCATCCCTTCTCCACCACTTCCTTCTTTCCCAACCCCCTTCCCTCCGCCCTCCTCTCCTCCGAGCGCTTTCGACACTGGTCTTTCCAGAGGTACGGTCGGCAAATAAAACGTTTATCAGAGAAAAGAATGTCCCTAAACATCCGGTTGGCGACCGGGAAAGCGAGTGAGAGCAGCGCCAGTCGCGTCGCGGTACCTTACGAATATACACATCTTGTTGCTCATTACTCGAGTCCGGAGAAAGAAGCAACACCTCGAATCCGGCACCTTGCGTCGTGTTGTGATTTTTTTTGGGGGGGGCCATTTTGGCCATTTTGTGCTACCGTATTGATAGACGTATTGGTTCGAACGTAACTAATGGCAGGTGTACTGTCCCTGTTCTACCTGATAGGACGGGAATGGAGTACCTCATGCTTTACTGAATGATATTCCAAACCATCTCGGTGCCACGATACACAAGGAAAACTGCGGAAAATAGAAAGAGAAGACGATGTGCCTTGTGCTAAAGGAATCGACGAGTATGTACAATGTAGAAAATGGTGATTTAAAGGGGAAAAAGCGTCTTCAGGTAGATACAAAGAAGACCGATGTTTGAGAAGTGAAGGGGGTCGAGAGAGAGTTTTGCTCAAGTTTGGACGAATTTGTAGATAAGTAAAGAAATATTGGATAAAAAAGAAATGCCCAATGGAAAGTGAATGGAGGCCAAGTGGACACAGAGGCCCGAAGGGAGAGGGAGGAGGAAGATGAATAGGAAAAGGAGGAGGAGGAGCAAGAGCAAAAGAAGGAGGGCGAAGGGGTGGCTGAAAAGTGTTCAGGATGCGAAAGGAAGGTCCCTGCAGTTCATTTTCCCGAGAGACGTTCGCATCACCCTCAACAAATGCAAAAAGGAAAGAAAGAAAAAGGTGTTCGGACGATCTCGTGCAAGAATTCTCGCCCGATCCCAAAAGGAACCTGCTTTGCATATTTCTACCTCTTCTCCTAATGGGGTTAGTCAGCGGGCGGATTCTCAAGTGGCATAGAATTGGTCTCAGCGTTGGAGTCTTGGGGAAAGTACCTGCATATCCTTCTCCTAGATGAGGCGGCGGCCGCATCAAACTGGGACCGCCAGGTGGTGTGCTGCACTTGGGTGTGGGTTTGTGTGATTTCTAGCCTGCTGCAATGTTCACGGTTGATTTGCTGATGTGTCATGTAAGCCATTTTGTGTGAATGATTACGTTTAAATCTTTCCATTGTATTTCATTAGTTCCAGAAGGAGCACCAGATAGGTAGATTCATGTAGATATGCCACGTGTAAAAGAGCATATTTACACGATAGTCTACATTCATTGCAAATCAAAAATCCATAGCCGCTTGGTTAGTTTAAAAACAAAATAAAACAAAACAAATCGAAAATATGGTTAGAAACAAGTAGCTATGATAGAAACAGACATGCGTACAGTTTCTCTCGGGAGGAAAAGTGCATAGTGCGAATGAGGGCAGTTTAAAGTCTGATGGGATCGTTATAATTGATCCAAGTTATCGATCCTGTGACCTGTACAAACGCCTCGTTACTACCTG